CAGCGGGGGCTGCGGGGTCGCGACGCATTCACGCGTGATTGCGCGTTGTTTGCATATCCGCGCGTACGCAAGCGCCTGTGAAAATACAGCTCTTCTCCGAGCCGTTGCTGCCGCTGGGAAAACGTCCTTAAAGGATCGTGGCTGCAGCAGGGCGGCCTGGTTTGGGTGATTCCGCTGAAAATCTGTGTTTATTTAAGGGCACTCAGGGAAGAAGCCGCTGTTGCGTAACGCGGTGCTGATAAGCAAAGGGCTGAAATGTTCTGCTTGTGCTCTGGCAGATGAGGGAAACGGTAAAATAGCAGGAACCTTAATTTTACGTCCCTTTAAAGGGAATAATAGTGCATGAAAAGTTAATTGCTTTTTCTATTTATTGCGTGTAGTGAGAAGGTGGGCAAAAATTCAGGAGTTAGTTACACAGATTTAAGAAATGTAATTTGCGGAGAGCTGTCATATCTGTTGTTAGACCAGGTAAATGGTTGAGTAAATTGCTTTTCTGTAGAAAATTATTATTAAATGTAGGTTAGGCTTCAAAACACATGAGCAGCCCCTTCTCCCTGACCACATATTAAAAAAGCAAACAAAAAACCACCACCACCACCAAAAAAGGTTCCCCAAAAAGTAAGCCAAAACCACGTTAGTCTTTGGTCTGGACTGACTGTGTAAAACTTGCAGCCTTAAAAAGAGTGTTCTTAAGAAAGGTGGAAAGAGGTAGGTAGAACTCAAAAACTCTGTCCTTTAGCCACGTAGTGTTACTTTTTGATAGTGATGGTATCCTTTATGAAACTGTCTTGGGAAGTTTTACTCTAACCAGAGTTTTATGACACTGGTAAAAGAGCAGTGGTGTATCTGGCGTAAGTCCCGTTCTCACTAGGTGGGCCCTGCAGAATAACAGCTGGGGAGCAGTTAGGAAGTTGGGCTGTGATGGTAACAACCAAGGTTGTATTAGAAATCTGGAATGGCAAAAGTGAGGTGACTTTCAATAAAGTTACATAGTGAATGAGTGACAAACAGGAGTGGATGCCAGTGTCTTTCATCTGGTTATGTTCATGACTTCCTTCAGCCTTTCAGAAAAGTCATAAAGATGATGAAGATGTATGGGAAGTCAAGAAAAAGGAAGGTTAAGTGACTTGCATGTGTTTATAAACAAAGGCAGAAATATTAGAAACAGAAACAAGATCTGTTTCCCCCCTAGCTTGATTTTTCTTTTTGCCATCCTGCTCTGTCTTTGGGGTGATCGCCAGGAGCCACATCAGGGTTTTGTGACCAGATCTGAGTATATGCTGTGGTGAGGACCATGGGGGCTCTGGAGTGAAACTGGGTGGTGTACTCGTGGAACAGAGCAAATGAAGTGTTGAGAATTGTCATCATTTGTCTTCCATGAATAATTTATTTAAAAAAGATAAGACTTCATACAATAATGGATTTTGCAGGTGTATGCCTCTTCTCCCTACCTGTAATAGGGTTATTTTCAAGGTCGAGTGAATTGCAGTTGTGTACTGAGCCAGGTAGAGTTTTACAGATGAAAATGTTTAGTGGTGTGTGTATATATATTCTTTTTTAATATCTGTGTTTTGTAATACTACTTAGTAAGCTCTATATACAAATTTTAAGATTGTATTTTGGTTTTTCAATAGGTCTGGGACAAAAGTGAAAATGGAGATTGGCATTGCACTGCCAGCTGGAAGGTTTGTATTTATAAAAATTACACAGCTATAACTGTAATTTGTCCTTTGTTTTTCAAGAAATGCTGGCTTGTAGAGTAGACATACTTTTGGTTGTACATCCTGTATTTCTTATGGTAAAATACTTTTTCTTTGCTTTTATAAAACATCTCTAATGCCTCTCACTTAAAGCAGAGGCTACATTATTAGTACTTGGTTATGTTGTCAGACTTTGTTATCATTAAACAATACCAGTAACTGGTGTTTAGGGATTCAATTAATTTTTAATTGAATATTTCTTTTTTGCATACTGTAAGACTTGAAAAAAAAAAAAAAAAGAAAAAGGAAGAGGTCTGGCTATTAGATATTACAACATCTGACCTTGTTTTTTTAATATTTTTTTTTCCCCAAAAAACCTTTCTGAGAGCCGTGTCATATAGAGACTCTGCTTTATCAGGATAATTAGTGCATTCAGCTTCTGAATTGTCCTTAAACTTACATGTAATAGGACCACAATACAATAATCCCTGTAAATGAAAATGCAAGTGAAGCTTTTGAATTCCCTTCCTCTAAAAAAAAGCAGCAGTAGGTTGGCTATGTATGAAAGAGGAGTTTCATGAAAAGAAGGAGAAGATAAGTAATGCTCTGCGTATGCTTTGGGAAAGTACAGGCAAGCTAGTAGTGAGCATGGTAATGGCTGAAAATTGAAAACAAAGCTGTACTTCTTGTGTCAAGGCAGAATCTTAGCTTGGAACTTATGGTTTAAAGGAGTATTAAATAATGCCTTTGAAATACACTTGTAATAATTACCTGCTAACCATTAACTAATAGCAACAAAACTTTGCAGTGCTTATAGGAATAAACAAATGCAACAGCTGTGGAGTAACTTTGAGCTTTATAAAAGAACATGGGTTTCAAAGGAAGTGTTTTACTACTTCTAGAATTTACTTCTGCTTCTGCAGAAAGTCATGAAAATGCATGATCACTTGGACTAATACAATAAGTATGTTTCTCTATATTAGTGTTTTGGTGTTATCTTGCAGACACATAGTGGATCTGTGTGGCGTGTGACATGGGCCCATCCTGAATTTGGGCAGGTCCTGGCTTCCTGCTCTTTTGACAGAACAGCAGCTGTATGGGAAGAAATAGTGGGAGAGTCAAATGATAAACTCCGAGGCCAAAGTCACTGGGTGAGACTTCCAACACGATTAATTACAGTTTCTATATATTCTTGTGTAAACGGATTTACTGTGCCTCTGATTTGTTTGCTTCTTGTAATGGGCTGGAGCTTTAAACTGTTTAAATTCTAGAATTGAATGGAAGACTGAACATGAAAACTGTTCCAAATACCAAGTTACTGGAGATTTCTGGTTTTGCAACATATTTTCTATTCCTGAAACAGGGGAAGCACCCTGTTTTCTTCTGCTAATATAAAGTGTTCCTGATTTTGCCTATGTTTTGTTAATTTGTGGCAATATTCCAATATAAAGTAAGAAAGAGGTGTTGCTGGGTGTCACAGTTAATATTGGCACCAGTATGAATGAAGAGGACAGTTTCAAATTGCCTGGGCCAATACTCTTGTATTTCATGGTTACGTTATGTGGGTTTTGGTTGGTTGTTTTTTTTTCCTCTGAAGACCATAGTCTAAACAACTCTTTTTGGTATCAGAACTTTGATACCATTGTGAGTATATCTCTTGATGCTTGAAATTACATTGGTGCAATGATGTGATTTCTCCAATTCATTGGTGTGTAAAAAGATATTTTTTTTTAGTCCTTGATGAAAGAGGTAAGTGATCCTATGAAATGTTGTTATCAGACCTTTATTAGCCTTCCTTAGGGAATACATTTTTGATGGAAACTTCTAGCATTTCCTTCAGAATTTCTGCCTTTCTTTACAGGTAAAGAGGACCACTCTAGTAGACAGTAGGACATCTGTTACAGATGTGAAGTTTGCTCCCAAGCATATGGGTCTTATGTTAGCAACCTGTTCAGCAGATGGAGTTGTAAGGATTTATGAAGCTCCAGATGTGATGAATCTCAGTCAGTGGTCACTGCAGCATGAGATCTCATGTAAGCTAAGCTGCAGTTGTATTTCTTGGAATCCTTCAAGGTATGTGATTAGAACTGTAGGGTTTTGCTTTATGACTGTTTTAAGCAGAAGATCCAAAGAGTTAGTTCTGAAATTTTGTAGAATAAATCCTAAAACATCATGGAGAAGATCGAGTGTACATTACTGAGATATGAAAGAAAGCTGCTAAAATTTCTTTTAATGAAGCAAGTTTGGCAGAGCCAGAGAAGGGTTACAAAAAGTCATCCTGTGCTCTGTGAGGAAATATTCCCAGCTTAATTGTTCTTAGCAAGTAATGAGGTAAAGAGCTACAAAGTGCTCTTTATTTATCCCACAAAACTTAACTGGGATTTTCATAAGAGAAAGTGTTTATAAAGATATATTTAACCTTCTTGAACAGAAAGGAATCAAGATAAAGAGTTTTTTTGGGTAGGCCCCACCCAGAAGAACACATAAAAGGAGAGGTTCTCCTTCGCTTCTCATATCACATCCTTCCCCAGCAATAACAGGAAGGGAAAAACCATTCAGGGATGAACTGCTTTGGATTC